AATAAATAAATAAATTTAAAAAAAAATTCTGATTATTGAGACATTTACCTAAATTTCACTTCCCTATTCTCATATTTTCTAATTCCTATATTTACCATATCTTGGACAGAGCTAAAATTAAGTATAATTACTAATCTTGTCAACTAAAAAGTTCACAGCGCACGTGTGCGCATGAAAACGTAGAATCAAAGAAAAAACCCAAATAAATGCAGATTCTGTTTCTTATCTAGTTTAAGCCTTATAATCCAATGACCCTGCTCAAATTGAATCCTCTCTACGCATAACCAGAAGCATCCATCACTGTCTATAGAGACACAAAGTGATATTAGGAGGAAAAGAAGGCAGGAGATACAGGTAACAATTATTAAAATTACACATTGCCCAAGAGTTTTACCTCATAAAAGTAAACAATTCTTCTTTAAAGGGCAAAAAGGTGGGTTTCCTCTCAAGTTAATGTCTTACGAGGGGCTTTATACAGCTAAAAATCAAAACTTTAGAACTCAAGCTTGATTTTTCAAAGTGAGTCTTAGGCTATAACACTGAATATTTCACAGGAATAAACGAAGAGGAAAGGTAGCACTGTGTCTTGGGTTTGAGAAGCATCATCCTAACCAGCTCCCCTCAAACAGCAAAATAGGCAAAGGAAGACCCTGTACCAAACCGCTGTGATTTGGAGACTGATACACAGAGGGAATGAGAGTGAGGTTGAAGGAGGGGGGAAAATGTAAAAATAAAACCAGAAGACGCCTTTATGCACCACTGAGGACATGTGCCAGGATCTGAGTTATAATTAACTCAATGCTCTGCACCTGAGGGCAAAACAAACCCAAATAAAGGGAACTCCAGGGAAGCAACACATTATATCTTCCCCTCAATCCCAGGGACAACAATATACCCTCAAAATATTTCTGAGGTACAATCCCAAAGTGACACAATCATCAGTCTTTAGGATCCAAACAAAACAAACAGATTTCCACCTAGAGTAAATAACAACTTTACATTAGAGACAGAGCGTCACGATAGAAGAAATACCTGTGTTAAGTCATCTTTCTACCATATGTCTTATGATTGCAGCTATTCATGCAGAGAATAAAGAGTCAAATCAATGCTGACCCAGAAGACATTCTTTCATTCAGTGGCATTTGGCCTCAATTGCTTCTCAGGTCCCCTTTCTCCAAAAAAAGTAAACTATATAATTGTATACGGAGAGCAATCTAGAATAAAAAGAAATACTGTACTCTCTCTGTCTAGCCAAAGGTTAGCTTTCTATTTGTTCTTAGGTAATAACACCCTTTAAAATTGTCCTTCCCACTAGATATTCTACATGGAGGTGAAAGCTTTAAATCTTAGAAACGATTATCAGGTCAGAGTATGCTTCCTATGAAGGGTAAGTTTCAATATTCCAATGTCATTTTATTCCAACTACAGAAAAATACCTGTGTTTTCCTTAGCAGCAATAGGTTATATAAGAAGAGCCAGAGGTCCAAGAGAGAAAGCATAACATTCATAGACAGATTACCTTGAACTAATACAAAGTGTATTAGCTGGAAGAGAATATTCATAAGGCTAATTCTCCTAAACAATTTGACACTTAATTGAGTTTGGTACATCATGTTTCAAAAACTATTCACCTTAGGATCACAGGTTTGTACACAAACAGAGATGATGTACATTATTAGCCTACGATGACTAGTAAGCTATCAAAAGCCACACAGTTAGGTTGAGACCTCATTCTGTGAAAAGTGATGCATTCTTTTAATGTAGGAACATTATGCTTTTAATCAAACAAACTAATGTCTAAGTTGTTCACTAAGCCATCTTGATTATTCCAGGCACAACTGGTCATATCTGGAGAGAAGACTGAAATGGGCAAAGCCCTAAAAGTTCTCTCACTAAATGCCTGGCCTTCTTTTCTCCCCTTACCTGATAATGAGCCTGGGCCTGCTGTGCGGAGTTCAAGGTGACATTGCAGAGTTTGCAGTACAGGGGCTTACATAGCTCCTCCAGGGCAGAGTCTTGCTCCCCTCCCTTCGGTAACTCTTCTTCCCCTGCCAGAGGCAAGGAAGCCTCCTGCCCAAAAGGCTTCTGTGGCGGAAGCTGCAAGGTTCCTGTAGACCGGGGGGCCACTGACATAGGAGGAGAGGATGAGGGCCGCTTAGGCAGAGGAAGCCCGGCGTGTTGCAAGAGGATCATTGGGTAGGAAAATCTTGGGCATAATCCAATGTGTGAGGAGAACTCAGGTCTTCAAATCTGAATCAACAGCAAAAAAAAAAAAAAAAAAATCCAAAGGCATTAAAAAAATATGAAACAACAGAAAAAATTACATCTTTTCCCCCAAAAAAAAAAAAAAAAAATGCTCACTTAAAAATGGGACCTCAGCAATACAGTATGTAAATGACCACACACCACCTGACCCCTTCCTCTACTTCTCCAAACCACCTTTGGATTTCTTTTTGCCTCATCTAGGAGACTTCCCCTATCTGTTAATCCATGCTGACACTATGCTCTTCCACGGAGAACAGCTTTATAGATTTTGCTTGGCACAGTTCCAACTGTGGCCCCTCTGACCCAGGAACATTAATAGCATTGCATCCATGGCTAATTAAATCTACAAGTCACATGGCTGAAATGGACATCAAAGGTCACCTAGTCCAGACCCCTTCCCTCAGGCACACTTACACTTAACTACAATCGATGATAATTATGCATAGAAAAAACACCACCAGTTACGAACCTCAGCAAATGTCTCCTTTCCATCCAAACTAGTCTCTCCATCCAGATGAATCAAAAAGAGCGAAATAAAGACTTCCATGCCTCAGAACCCTTAAAACACTTCTAGAGCTAGCTAAAATATCAAGGAAACCTAGGAATAACTCAGTTACTATGTAACAAAAGTAAATAAAAGAGTTCCTTCCCATCAACCAGTAATATTTATTTTTTTTAAGATTTTATTTACTTATTTGACAGAGAGAAACACAGCAAGAGAGGGAACACAAGTAGGGGGAGTGGGGGAGGGAGAAGCAGGCTTCCTGCCGAGCAGGGAGTCAGATGCGGGGATTCGATGTGGGGGCTCGATGCGGGGATGGATGCAGGGCTCAATGTGGGGCTCAATGCAGCGCTCGATCCCAGGACCCTGGGATCATGACCTGAGCTGAAGGCAGATGCTTAACGACTGAGCCACCCAGGCGCCCCATCAACCAATAATATTTAAATAGGTAAGCCAGTGATTCCTCACAGCAGAGCCACAGGCAACGTGTAGGCCACATGCTGCCTCAGATGTGCTCTGTTTGGAACATAGAGTGTTGTGTTTTGCTTTCACTTTTTAAATTGAATTAGTCATCAACATTTTAAAATCAAGAGATTCATGGCCCCTCCTGATAAAAGGATGATCTGGCAACATTTGACACATGGTCCTACATGGACAATTACCTAGATAGGGCGGAGAGGCACTGTCCCCAGTAGCCAGGTCTGTCTTCTCCAGGCCACCTGCTTCCCACTTAGCCTATCTGTATTTGTGTTACTTACCTGCTTCCTGTAGGCCTTTGAGTTCAGGACCCCACCTCATATGGCCTTAAACTATATTCACGAGTCTGCTATAAAATCAGAATATCTTCTCTCCCTCTAGCCATAAATTACCTGCATAAAACAATGTATCAAGTAAATGTCCTCTGAGGTAATGGATCACACTGTCAGAAGCCCCCATTTAATTCTAATCCCTCAGTCTTTCAGCAATTTCCTTTTCCCTTTTTATTAAGTAACTGTTACTCCATTTCATTCAGAAAAGATCCAATATGTTCCAATACCTCTTCAATTTTATACATGATTTCTTCTGCCTCCCACCCAGATGGTGCCTTCTAGCCCTGAGTATCTCAAAATGAACCACAGTACACGTTCTGAGTTCCCATGATTCTAATTAACCCAAATTAAAATCCCTATTCCAAAATACATAATTCCTTCCACTCTCTCAATACTATTAAAACCTCTTTCCTTGATCAATAAAATATGGCTATTTTAAACGGCTGAAATTTTCCATCTGCAAGAGAAATATGTATATTTTCTGACAATAATACATTTACTAAAATTAACCACAATTTTAAAAAGTTAAAACTCTCTTTTACCACATTTAATAAGTATACACATGGAAACTGCACTCAAGTAACAACTTTTATACTAAATTCAGGGTCTGGGGGCAGCAGAGGATATCAGTGTGATGGGAAAATAAAGTAGTTAAAGGCAAAGTACAAAAATTAGTCATAATGTTCAGTGATACTTCTCATTCATTATAACACTTAAAAGAACAGTATTTTTTATTCTTAAGCAGAAGTATGCTGTCCATATCTCTGGTAACATAAAGAAAAGCAATACAGACTGAGGACCTTTAAAAAGTCAGATTCTCTGTAATCATATTATTCCTCTCAATTAAATCAAGCCAAGACAGGCATGGACATTTTAAAAAGGAAAACTAAGGAGACAAAAATCACTTATTCAAAAAGTTAACTACCTAATTATAATAATTCATAATATTAAAAGACTACACATACCACCTGTACAGAGACATACTGATACCAAACTGCCACAAACAAGCTTCCAGTTCAGAAGAGAAAATGGAGGAGGGTGTTGAAACATCTGTATAAAGGAAATCAACAATATAAACAAAATCAAATACTACCGATTGCCTAGACATGTCTGGACTTGTTTTATGAAAGCTCACTCCCACTTGAGGAAATTCCAGCACGCCTCTCTCCCAGTGTGGTCTACAGGTTTCCATCAAAATAAAGGCCAGTCTCAAAGCCCAGAGGTACGAGAGGCCCCCTTCCAGAAGTGATAAAATCCCCTGCATTACAGAAAAAAATTCTTGCCCCAGTACAGACGTACCCATTATCACATTTTATCTTTATAATTTTTAAAGAATAGCTAGATATTCCAAAATTATTTCTTGTAATATTCAACAATCGAAATGATAATGTAACTCCCAAAAAGGCTCTGTGCATGACAACTACATCAGGTCTTACTATGCTAGCAAACAAAAACTGGCTAAATCGAAAAGAAATAAAACCAAGCCTTTAGTGAAAGCCTGAATGGTGGAATAGAGAGAGACCCAAAGCATAGGCGACTACAAGGATCCGTTCAACTACTGCATTAGATGAAAAGAAACTAACTCGATAGCTGATGTAAATAAAATATTCCTCAGATCTTAAAAACCATTCAATTTGATGCTTGAAGTGACATAAATGAAGGATTTATGGTGGTGAATGTCCTGGTTTGGAAGGGGTTTTTGAGGAGACAATAAAGAACGCCAAAGCTTCATGGGGTACCCTGTTTAAAGAAAACGGATGCTCATAGCATAGTTTTCATGATTGGACTGGGGCCTACTCTTCACATACTGTATTAAAGACAATCACTTTCTCATTTGGAGAAATCTACAGAGGAAAGAGAACAGTGTAAAGGAACAGGTTATTGGCACCTCAGCAAACTAGGGAAGTCTGTACAGTAATTGGGAATTCCGGAAACGAGGGGAAAACAGTGAGCATTATTCAGAGGTTATCAGAACGCATCGGGAAGGAATGAGAGAGAGAGAAATACGAAAAATAATCAGCTGAGGCAAGGTATATCATGTAAGGAAGATTCAAAAGAACGCAGGGATCTGGGGGAGAAGAGGCCTTGGTGAATTGGCGAATGTTTTCCAGTCTCAGCTATGACGGTTCCTAATCCAAGGGAATCGTTTACACATTTGAATCTAAGCTACAGACACTTCAGCATCGCCCACATATACCTTACATTCCTAATATGTGCCTGCATACACACGAGCGCGCACACACACGCACCTCAATCCCGCAAGGATGCCATCACGAAAGATGGAATCCCCCGTCTCCCACCGGGCGGGGGGAGCGCGAGGGCCAAGGCAGCAGCACGCCTAGATGATCCAAACGGTACACGTGAAAAGCTCAAAAACAAACAGATAGATAAAAGCAGCGCAAGTCTGTCACGTGGAGGGCAGGTGGAAAGCCCGCACCCGAAAGGAACCGCTAGTCGCCTTCGCTCCCGGCTCGTCCTAAATGCCCCAGGCTCGCGATCTCCCGCACTTACCGGAACCCTCCGGACGCGCCGGGAGTCTGGGCGCCGCGTCCACCCGGGGACCCCTCCGCCGTCTGCCCCGCGCGCCCGGCTCGGCCCGGCTCGGCCCGGCTCAACTCCGCCTCCCTCGGCGCAACTTTCCCGGCTGGCCCCCGCCAAGCCCCCGACGCAGCTAAAGGCTGACTGTCAAAAGTCAGTCCAGCCGGACCCACAGGGAAACAGCTGCAGGAAGTGACTGCGGAACCGGGAGACGGCGGAGGAGGAGACTGAAGGCGCCGGCCCGGCGTCGCCACTGCGCATGTGCCAGGCAGGGCAAGCCAGGCGGTGGCGACGGCGACGGCGACGGCGGCGGCGGCGGCGGCAGCAACAGTGTCGGCGGCGGCCGCGCGGGTGGCTCCAGCATCCCTGACAGGCCAGGTGCGCGCCGGACAGGTGCGGGCACCGGGAGCGCAGGGGCGCTGGGGCGGGATGGGAAACAAGCACAAGGCAGAAGGAGGGTGCACCACCCAGCGGACAGGTCCCTAAGAGCTAGCTGTTCCTCACGTACACCCTGGAAAGTTGATCCAGAGCAGACGCTTGGGTAGAGCTTTTGCAACTTTCATCTCCTGTCATTGAGATCCAAACCTTCTTCACTCCAGCCGCGCCCTCAGTCCGCTGGTTGCCGCGTAAGGTCCTGACAAATTGTCCAGGATCCTTTAAAGTGCCGTGACAGAACCTTTAAACGGCACTTCTTCCCAGGATGGAGAAAGAAGAGCGTGAGTGCGGTTAAGTGGTCTCCAATCACACAAGAGCGCGTGTGTGCGCGCACGTGTGTACACACACACACACACACACAGACTCCTATACTACAGTGGGCAAGAGATAGAGAAGACTTTCTCCTGACCCCTGGATCCTTACCTGCAGGACAGAAAAGACCAGGAAGAGATTGGCTGATGCTAGAATGTCACATCTTCTCCTAGTCAACCGCGACACCTGTAGGGTTGGCATTGAGAGATGAACTGAGGAATTTCCAGCTCTAAACTTCTATTAATTTGTAAACTATTCCATAGGAAGATTTGCTTGGGGGGGGGGGCAAAATATACATAAATTTACTGTTTTCACCATTTTAAGTGTATAGTTCAGTGCCATTAAGTATATTCATATGGCCATGTGCTCATTTTTTAATCATTAATTAAAATGTCAAGGAGATCTAAGTACAGCAAGATGTGCCCTAGTAGTAGGCAACTACTGCAGGAAATTAAGGCTGTTTCTTTGACGGAAACACACCATCCAGTACCACCACCAACAAACCAGATTGGACTGTTTTCCAGAAATGACTTAATAAACACAATGATTATTTAGGAATCATGCACACACAGCTAGTGTACACAGGCCATTTGGGGAGTGATCTATCATGCCTAGGTAGAAAACAGAATTTTTCTGAATTGATTCACTGTCTATGTATACATACTTTATGTGTCAATACCTTAAAGGGACACATTGTTTTTATAATAAATGCTGCTGAAATCCACTTTCTAGCCCTTTTTCTGCACAGTCTTTAGTCATGTCACAGTCTACACTCTTTAGCTAGAACTGCAACTGGACCTCTACTAGCCTTTCTGACCTGCCCCTCCTACTAGTCTCCTAATAATGAACAAAATAGAGTCACTCATATCTACTCGTTTACTCATGAATAGGCCCCATCCATGGCACTCACTTTTCCACCTCTGTAACTTAGCTTATCTGTATCTTGAATGCAAAGTGCTTTTTGTCCCCATCCCTGTATTTCTAAATCCTACCTATCCTTCAAGGCCTCTTCTTCAATGAGCTCCATAGCACTTCTCTGCACACCTTGATGACACACTTAATATTTATTGCTCCATATTATAGTTACTTAAAGAAATCACTAATCTGCCCTACAAATTCCTTAAGCACAGAAAGGATACATATCTTGGGAGTTTTCAAACTGTGTATTTCATTCTTTCATTCAGTGCTGTATGTCAGGATAAAAATCTGAAATATTAACTGAGGTACCTCACCATCCAGCTCTGTACATACACATACATTTCCATGTCCTCTGCCTCTGGTGTTATACTCTTCCCAGACAGGGCATTTCCTCCTGCCTCAGGGAGAAAGAAGAAGGCAAGTCTCAGATGTTTGTTTAATAGATATTTGAAGCTCATGATGTGACAATAGTCTTATAAGTCAAAGGTTTGGATCTGGAATAGCTCTTTAGGAGCTGAAAGAAAAAAAGAAATTAGACCACAATGTATAAGTCAGCTTTGTTGTAAAAGCAAACAACTCCCAAATCCCAATGGATAATTGCCACAAAGGTTTATTTCTTGCTTATATTAGTAACGTGCTGTAGATCAGCTCTGTAGGTCTTCTTGTTTCAGGCCCCAGGCTGAAGAAACAGCCCCTGTATGGGACTTGGCAATTCTCATGACATATGGGAAGGACCAGAGAGCTGACAGAAACACATGAGGCCTCTTATAGCTGCTTTTTCAGTGTGTCATGATATGTCCACTCAAATCCTATTGGCCAAAACCTTTCATACAGTCAAACCCCAAGTCAGTGGAGAAGTCTATAGCTTCCATAGGCAAATCACATGTCAATGGACATGGATTATAATCTTACAGAGCAGTGGTGGGTGGTGGTTAATTATAAACAATCATGCAATCTGCCACAAACTCAGGGAAGCATTTTTCTCATCCTAGAGGTTTTGGTGTATATCTTCAAGAAGGGGTTTATACCTCCCCCTCATAGTCAAGATTAGCTTGAAAACTATGGAATTAGAAAAAACAGAACCCCCCAGATACCTTTCTAAGATCTGAAGACAACGGAGATCTGAGTTCTATTGCTAGGGTGGAGATCAGAAAAACAACCAAGGTCCTGGGGCTTCTCTTTAATAAGCCAAAAGAGAGCAGCATGTTAGCACGAAGTATTTGAGTATGAAGAGCCAGAGGAATGCCCCAACACCTGTTCTTTAGTATCTATGGCATTAAAGACCATTCAAAGGGGCTGGCAGAGGACTATAAAGGGTGGAATGACTTAGAGGTCAAAACGAAGAAGGACAGAGCTAAGTGCATAAAGCAATGGAAAAGTAGACATCAGTTTCTGAGGTAAAGCTGAGGGCGTTTGTATCTGTGAACCAGGTATCTCCCCTTGCCACGTGCCTCCACACCCCACCCCAAAGAATTTAGTGGCTACCCTGAGAAGAACAAGGGGGAGTCAGATCATTATAAAGGGATTACATTTTAACCAGAAATGATTTGGGGACAGGAGGTTATGATTTGGCCAAGTTAAGTTTTCTGGCTTTAGGAAGAGTTAGATCTTGACATTGAGACTAATTTCAATTATTTTTTTAAAATATTTTGCACTGTTGAGTTTTATGACCTGATTTAACATAACTAGTATATTTTGTATCACCATGCTTGATTGGATAAATGGATGAATGAATAAATGAATGAATGAGATATTTCTGTTTCCTCCCCTCTATAATAGGGATTATAGTGCCTACAATTATACTTCATAGGAATGTTGTCTCCTTGGTGAAACTATTATGTGGAAAACTCTCTGAACTTATCAGAAGGAAACTCCCATATTGAAATAAGGATAGTTATTTTTCATTACGTTAAATCCCTTACTGAGAAAATCTACATTTTGCATGAGTTTATTTACCAAGAAGATGGTTCCAACATACTTTTGGTGTCATGGCTTGAGCCTATGGGGAATCTAAACCAGGAGGCTTCATGCTATTCCCAAAATCAGAAAAAAAGGGAAATACTCATTCTTCTCCATGGACTGATGTAATTTGTCAGGTCAGATCCCTTTGGAATGTAAATTTCCGTCATTCTTTGAGACTACATCCTTTACTCTCATGCCCAGGCTGTGACACATTATATCTTCCAGATCTCCTTCATTCTTTAAATTGTAGAGAAAACCTCTAAAATTATTTGTCTCTCACACTAACCCCTGCTTTTCAACACAATCCTTCCTTTCTAATCAAAGCAGTACAACAAAAATCAAACAAAATAATCTCTCAGGCATTTTAATAGCATTTTAACATTTTTTACTTAAAAATAAAGTGTGAAGAAATAGTGGGAAAATGGTGATAGCCCTGACATGAGTTTTTAACCTCCCTAAATTCCCCTGATTAAAAAACTAGACAAAGTAGCAAACCCAAAACTCTGTAGACAACGACTACCATAAAGTATCCCCACAACCCAAAATACAAGTGATAATACGGCAAACCACCAAGAGCTACAGAGCTGTGTGGTTTCAGCAAGAGAAAGCAGAGAGAAACAGCAGGGACATCGGACAGACTGAGAAACTAGCTGACTGGGACTCACTGGAAAGCTCAGTGGGCCGATCTGAGGACAGAAGCTGAAACTGAAAGGAGCCCCGCCCAGTCCAGGAGCAGATGCATGCAATGGGTACTGAGTTCTGAAAGGAATGGAGCACTTTGAGGCCCATCAACTCTCAGAGTTAACTAACCCTAATTCCATTCCCAACTGAGGAGAAAGTGCTGGGAATAGAATGCAAATAGTGCAGATTAGAGAAATAGGAAAGAGATGATCCAGAATTGAAGAGAGGAAGGAGCCAGGAGATCTCAGAAAGTAAGCCAGGAGCCTGGTGAACATAACATGAGGAAAAGAGAAGAATGAGCTCTAAAGCCTGAAGTTGAAAATGTATCTTAAACCACCCATCCTTCAGCTCCTGATCAAACCTGTAGATTCAATGCCAAACTAGCAAGGCATAACAGAGGGCAGAGAAACATGTTAAATTGCATTATGGGGATGCACTCAACAAAATCCAGACATAGGACAAATGACCTGATTTCTTTAAGATTAAATTACACAGCAAAATGGGGACAGGGAAAGAAGGGGGGTGGAGTATTTTTTAAAGTCTTTAACCTGCAGATTAACATTTCCCTCCAGGAGGAAGAAATCTCTATAGAGCTAGGAGCACCAAGGGCAAGAGAAGACTAATATTCAGCTCAAGCAGTCAGGAAGAGAGAAAGCAAATTCTTCTTCCTCCATCTTTTTGTTATAGTCAGTCCTCAATATATTGGATAATGCCCACCCACATTTCAGGGGTTGGGAGGAATTCACTTTGCTCAGTCTACTGACTCGAATGCCAATCTCTTACAGAAACACCCTTGAGACACGCTGAAATAATGTTTTAAACAGATATGTAGACACCTCGTGATCCAGCCAAGTTGACACATAAAATTAATAATCACAC